GTGCTACGTGTGCATATCATCTATATACTTGCTATCTATGATGGGTGAATGATTTTATACATGTTTTAAATGATTTAAATTGTATATATATTTTATATCTACAAAATATGTTGGGTAAAACATGGGTAGATGAAATATGAGTTGGATGATGAAATAAGAGGTGATATAGACCATAGGATAAGGGTGAGAGGTAAACAATGAGAGAAACCTTTTACCCAGGTGTTGGACCCGTCATCTAGCAGAGTATGGATGACAACCACAGACTATTCTAGATGGTCCAGTGGAACACTAGCAGGCTCGCAACCTGTAGGTGTTGTGAACGATGTGTTCACTCGGTGTACTCTAAAAACCCATTGACATGTATTACGAGTGGACTCTCGAAACAATACTGTTAATAAACGAGATAAACCCTGGCGACTATGCGTACTTAGTGTCTGTTGTAAAAACCCTGACGACTATGCAGACTTAGTGCCTAAACCATGGTGACTATGCAGACTTAGTGCCTAAACCCCGGTGACTATGCGGACTTAGAGCCTGTTGTAAAAACCTTGGCGACTATGCAGACGTAGTGCCTAAACCCTGACGACTATGCAGACTTAGTGCTTGTTATATAAATTGTGGCAACGGTGGACTTCGTACCTATTTCTTAGGGTAATTCTTAGGAACGAATGAACGGGGAATAGCCGATTCTTAGGATAGATCCTTAAGAGTAAAGAATATAATGGGGATGGGTAATTGGGTTGATTGTTTGATGTTTAAACATAATAATTATATTATTGTGGGTTGAAAACCTTATGTACTCACAAGGTTTCCCAACCTAACCCACTCATTTTATTTATATCACAGGTGTCGATATGAAGTTACATTACACTGAGAGATTAAGGAGATGTAAATCACTAGTGATAATAAATGTAAGTTCTGTTTATGCTTATGCTTCTGTATTGAAGATGACATTCCACTGTTTTAAAATGAATAAAATACATTTTTTAGAATATGCTTTGATAACGTATTTATCATGTTTTCCTAGGAACAAATTCCGCAACTCTTTTCTTTAAAAGGTTGCTCTGATTTTGAAAAATAAAGCATAAACAAAATCGGTCTTTTCTGGCCGTGAAAATGGGAATGTCACAGTTAGAAACACTTCTGTAAAGGTTCGGACTTCAGATCTTAAGGATTAAGATTATTTTGGTTAATCCCTTGGTTTTCAAGCTTGTGATTTGGGTTTTTGGACCTTTTTTGTAGCCCCAATGGATAAAGTTGGAAACTTTACCCTTCCTAATCACATTTTCATATAGACTACAGGCCGATAGGGCGTTCCAGTCACACTGAAGGCTCTGTATGCATGCTTTTGCTCTTATTATTATGATATTATGATGTGTTGGCATTTTGGGGGAACTCACTAAGCTTTGGGTTTAAAGTTTTGGGTTATGTTTCAGGTACTTTAGAGGATCGCGGTAAGGCGAAGGCATGACCGTACACATCCTTATGTTTTGGACTTATGTTTTTGGGAAACTTTGATATAGAACATGTTTTGAAAACTATGTTGTAAACAATTTGTGATTTTGGGTTGGTTTTTAAAAGTTTAAAATTTTCATGATTTTTTGGATGTTACAAAATATCTTCGGCATAGATCGCCGAACAACACCAACCACCTCAATGACGATGACCTCCCGAATCTGGTCATCTGTTATCCTCAACCCATCTTGGTCGCTCGCTCTAGATCCAGAACCTGATCCCCTCGTGAACACCATACTGAAAATAAATCAGAGCATATCAGAATTTCACAATTCATATAATCACAACCATTCCTGATAGACGAACTCGTGGGGTTTGTGACTTCCTTGAGACGCGTACGGGTCCTGTGCTTTCAGTAGTACAGGCCCATACTACCTTTCATACCTACCCGTATTTGTCTCAACGATCATCGCAATCGCCTAAACAGATACTACAACTAGGATACACATATATTTTATCCACACCCTCGCAAGGATGGCTAAACATTTCTCCTCTAACTGGCTGCTCACACAAATACTCACCCATGAAACTTATACCAACCCTGTAGCACTCGCGTATGCTAATCATACATAACACTGGATCCTATAGACAGTTGAATACTTGATTCTACCCTAAACCTATAACCAAACAAGTAATAAGAAATAAGTCCAAACCAAATATTCTCATACTATAAAATCTTCGTTATGTATACTTGTGATGCATACACTAAGTAACTATAGTAATGATGTCAATTCCATACAAGAAATAACCCTAGGCTATCAAGCATCATACATCTAGAAATTCTATCATGTAATTCCTGAAGATCCCTAGCCTATCACTAGCATGTTGTTCTACCATAAACATCATATCAAATAATAGTATGGTAACTTGGGGTATACTTTCTGACTCTTGCTGATCATACACATCACATCCTTCCTTGGTCACTTTTTAAAACAATTTTTGAAAACCGTTTTAAAACTTTTGCAGTTCCTTAGTTTGAGTCTGGATTCACACGAATGCTCCTCCAATTCACTCAAACCAAGGCTCTGTACCAACTTGTAACATCTCAAAAATCACAAAAAATTTTAATTTTTCAAAAACAACAATTAAATCCATAATTTTTACAAAACCATTATTTCAAAAGAGCTTTCTAATAATCAGAGTGTCCTAAAAATCTAAATACCATAGAATCAAAGGATGTGCACAATCACGCCTTCGCCTTGCTACGGTCATCAAAAGTACCTAAAACAAAACTATAACTATAAGCCAACACTTAGTGAGTTCCCCCAAAGTACCACCACATAATATAGCAAACAACAACATGCATATAGAGTCTTCAGCATGACTGGACCGCCTCACTGGGCCTTCAGCCTATCTGGACCGCTTTCTTGGCATTCGGCCTGGCTGGACCATCTCGCATGCCTTCAGTCTATCTGGATTGCCCTGGGTATTTTGGCCTTCAGTATCGGTTGGTCCACCTCAACCTAGTAAACAATAACATATCGATACATAACATTATCAATCAATAACAAAAAACACAGGTAGTCCTACAGATCTACAGGACTACCAGTCTAACCACATAACCAATACCACATAACTCCATATAACAATATACAGAAAATCAGGATATCCAATCTAATAGGCCGACCTTGGTGCCTTTGACCCCTAAGTATAGTGGGGAAAACTCACATCTTAGTCCAAATACAGTCTGAATGAATCTATGCTCTGACAACCGGCTCTATCTGACTCCTAATAATCAAAACATTTCCCATTCTAAATTAATAACAATTTCCCAAAATACCCTTTGTCAAAATAGGTCAAAATCAACAAAATCAGCCGAGTCAACCCAGCCGAGTCAGCTCAGCCAAGTCGACCCAAACCTCGTACCTGGGGCGTACTTTAAATGTATGCGGGGTGTACTCGCTATCTTAGGGATCGGGGCATGAATTGCGTATGAATAACGTACCATTTTGGTACGCCCAACGTACGTAACCAATCTTCTTCTTAATGATTTAAGAGCTTAATACATAAACTATTATGACCAAATTGCAGATCCAAGTCCCAAATATCATCCTTGACCATAAAGTTTCCAACCTTATGGTCTTGCATGGCCAATAAATGCTAAATGCTTGAAAACCCATCCACTTAACCCATTAAGACAAACAAACACATGCATGGAGAAGGATCAAGAGCCAAAACCCTATTTTTATGCTTCTAAACCCCTCAAAACATCTGAAAGGACAACTAGAATGGATTAGAGCATGCCATACTCCAAAAAGGTCAAAACTTGGGACAAAATTCTCATGAATGAACTTACCTAAATCTGAGGAAATACAAGCCAAGTTTAGAACTTTATACCTCTTGGAGGTTGCTATAGAGGTGAAGATCCCATATCTAAAGCTTTTTCAAGTTTCCAAGGTGGTTCTACTTCCTTCTTTATCTTTCAAGACCACCAAAAACACACACAAGGGTCAAGAATGCTCAAACAAGTTTCTAGAGTTTGCTAAAATTGAATGGTGATGTTGGAGGTTAATGAGAGATGAGGTTGGAAACCATAAAGATATTTAAATAGGGTCAAAACCCTAAAATTTAGGGTTTGGAACCCTCGCACGTACACCCTGCGTACGTGATGTACGCCCAGCGTACTAGACCAACGCATGTACGCCCAATGTATTAAATCTTGGCCTAAAATTCCAAAACCGCCACTATGGTCCATTTTGCAAGCTTTCTTATACCAAGGGTTAAAAACCAAACCTTCATACTTAAAGGTTAAATTTGGAAATACCTTATCGTTGGGATGTTAAAATATCTCTCATTATATATTCTCGAAATTTAAGAACCATAAACATAGTAACAGAGTAACCATAATCACTGCCGTCGACAACCACCATCGACCACTGACCATCCTCCACCACATCTTTACTCCACCGCTAATATACAATCTAAAGCTACCATCTAACGATGAGCTTCTACCACCACCTTGCTACCTAGCCGAAAACTATGTAAAACCACCATCTAAAACTAATCTGCACTCTAAATCTGCTATTGACTACGATCGTGTAAAGAAAAATCAAAACCTCTCATCTACATCTAATCCCTTTTTGTTCGATTTGTAATTGATTTTGTGAATTTTGGATTTGTTTGTTATATTGGAGATTTTCAGATGACGCCAAATAAGCAGAAGACGATCGAAGAAAATAGAGAAAAGGTGAAGGACGAGGGAACAAGTATAAAAGGGAATGGGTGAAGGGTGGTTATTTTCCAAATATGCTTGTTAAAAAAGAGTCGTTGGAAACCTTGTCGTCTCCCTCACATAGACCTTCATAATTTCCTTCCATCAAAACCTCATTTTCTACTTCTTAGATTTGTGTTATTTTCCAGATCTGCTTGTTCTTTCATTTGGTGCATATCATAGCTCCAATGTGTGGTTTGTTTTGTGAGTTTTTGTTAAAGAAAGAAAGGATGTGCATCTGTTTTTTTGGTGGTGCTGGATAGAGAACGTGAGGTCAGATTGAATAGAGAACATGAGATTGGAATCTACAGGTATGGCCGGAATCTGGAGGTGTGGCTGGCAGTAGCGGGTGGTGATCGACGGAAATGGTGGTAGTTGAAGATGAAGTTAGGGATAGCGTTTGATGGTGGGACCTATGTATATTAATATTTTTTTAATTAAAAAAATAATAATAAATGAATAAAGAAAATATAAAGGGCATTTTAGTCTTTTTATACTTAAGAAGGACATAAAACATAACGAAATCAAACAATAAGGATGGTCTGAGTGCAAAAGAAATGTTAGGGACCAAAAATAATTTTTTTTGCAAACAATAAAGACCATTTCAATAATTTGTTTTATAATGTATAATTGGTTCCTGTGCCTAGGGGTGTCAAAAAAACCCGAACCCGATCAATCCGACCGAACCCGAACCCGAATATGGTAATTAGGGTCGGGTTTAATAGGGTTAGAACTCTTAATCGGGTTATTCGGGTTAACCCGACTAACCCGAATTATTATTAGGGTTGGGTTTAGGGTTATTTTTTCAAAACAATTCGGGTTTCGGGTCAACCCAAATAACCCGATTAAGAATTTATTACCAAAATTTTTTTTTACTGCGTTAAATGATATGAATTCAAGATTCTATGAGATTTTACAACTAATACATATTTCTTATTTAAACAAACAAGATAGTAAAATTACTATGCACGGAGATGTATAAAATAACATAACTTTCCTCTTTTCTTAATGCAGTACGGTTGTTTTGTAACACTTTTACGAATTTTGTTCAATGTTTACATTACTAATATAGTAAAAGAAACTCCAAAAATTCATATCGTATACCAACTTTACAATTTAAGTTGCTATACATGTGGATTATGTATTAAAATAGTACAACATAAATTCATCTTACATTTTAACCTCAACCCGACTAACCCGACCCTACAAACCCGAAACCCGATTAACCCGAACCCGACTAACCCGTACCTTATTAGGGTCGGGTTTCGGGTGAATATTTTTTCTAAAAAAACCCAACTAACCCGACCCGTTTAACCCGAAATTCGATCGGGTTAACCCGATTAACAGCCCTACCTGTGCCGATAAAAATATAAAAGGTAAAAAGTGGTTTTATATGGTTGAAGAACCAACCTAAGAAAGTGAAACAACAATGATCATGAAGTTTAAAATCGACTATTTTGTATAACTGGAACTTAAATTTCACGATAAAAATAACTTCTAACACATATCACCATCTCAAATATTGAACGAATAAGCGGTTGTGTGCGTAAAGCTCATAAATCCTATATGTATGGTATAGTTTATATCATGTGATGGAGACACTTTTTGTATGAACCCGTAATCAAACATAGTATTAATCAACAACACAAAGACAAAAAAAAAAAATTATGTTCCTAACCATGTAACACTTGAAGAAGGAAGGGTGTAGAATTGTAGATTGTGGGGTGTGACCATTATCTATCAACATATCATCTTGTTACATATTAATAGAGAAAAACTAAATAAATCAATCCAAAAATGGAAACAATAAGAGACCCTAGATTATTGTTTGAACCCTTCAATATGTTTGCTGTGGAAGGAGAAGAAGATGGGCTTTGATTCGGACCACCGATTGTCGTCTTCTCGATTGCACACTCATAGTTACAACGGCTTGGAGCAACAATCCTATAGACGCCACTACTCGTTAGGAGGTATACATCCTTCTTGTTGTCCTGCCCGAATGAAAAGATGTAACCTAGTGCCGGAACTGAACTTCCGGGAACAGTGCTACATGGTAAAGGAGAATCCGAGGCACATGTAAACGGAATCTTAGTAGATGTGAAATTCCCACTATTGTTAGGGGTTTCAATGCCTGCCCACATTGCAGTTGCGAATAGATCTCCATATAAATAACTGTAAAATTAAACAAAGAGATGAATTAAACGCAAAGCAACAAGTCAAGATCATGTTCATTTCACTAGGGTAAAATTTTCATTTTGAAATCAAACCTAGATTTATAATATTAATGCAGAAGAGATTTATTTACGTACCTTCCATACATACATGGATCAGTCATAGACCTATAGAAATACCCACCGGTTATAGAAGCTGAACCTTCGTTCTTATTTATATCAGAATGGCTATAACCCATTACCGGAAATATCGGATTGATGGAGTTGGCCGACGTATTCCCTCCGGGAGACTGTAGAGGGGCGAAAACTCCTGGTCCCTCGTAAACACGCCAACCGTAGTTCCCATGTTTTGTGATCAAATCCACCTCTTCAAAATAATTCTTAATTTTGACAACAAAAATGAAAGATTAGTTAGTTAAAAATCCAACACTTTTCTAGGACACAAATTGAAGTATTTGTGGATAAGGAAATCAAATACCTGGCCGATATCCCCGCACATAAAGTAAGATGACCTTTCGGAGTCGAAACTACAACGCCAAGGATTACGTAATCCTAGTGCCCATATCTCTGGCAGCAACTCGGTGTCTTCCATATATGGATTGTCCTTCGGGATAGAGTAGTTTCCCCATAGAGCGAGTCGAGTGATTTCTTCTTGACCTAGTGATGTGCGACAAAATAATTTGTCAACAAGGTATATCATGATAGATTCAAAAGATCAAACGAAAAAAAATGTAAAGAGTTCGTATCTTAATACGTTAAGCCAAAAACTTTGACTTAATTGACTGACTCATTCTCTCCGGATTAAATTAATACATAGTTATCCAAATTAAATCCTTATCTATTAACTCCTTTAGAGATTTCTTAAAAAAAATTCCTCACATGTAACACTAAAAAAAAAAAATTAAAAGAATCAAACTTCCAACCTCTCTCGTGTCACATAAATATCACTTACAATGTATCTTATTTAATAGTCTAAAATGTCGGACAAAATTTAGCCCGTAAACTATTATTTCAGATCGCAATCAATGGGAAAAAGAACACGGTCTTACTTGGTATGTTATCGATGTCGAACCTCATAATCTTTCCCAACAACGATTTCTTGTTTTGGGCAAAATTCTGAGGATCACCTTCACCTCCACCGTCTCCCATCATGAAATAAAGATACCCGTCTGGTCCGAAAAGGATTTGCCCACCATGGTGGCCTGTATACGGAAGACCCATCGTGAAGATTCTCCTTGCTTCTCCAGCCGAAACACTTGGATTCTGAAATAATAATAGCACCAGATCAGAACACAAATCACATTCACCAAAAAACACGATCCGACACCTGCTAGCAATAGATCAACTTCGTCCCTAAGTTTAGCGACAGATTAAGATTAGTAGTTACCGTGTTGTATTCTGCTATGACAGTCTGATACTGGCATGGCTGAGCTCCGTTATCTTCTTCTAGTTTTGAAGGATCACAGTTTATATCAGAGTTACAAGCACACCTTCCTCCACATCCAGGCCGATCAGATTTGTCACAGTTAAACGAAGCAAAAAACCGCCCGTTTTTTGTGAAATTCGGATGAATTGCTATCGCCATCAACCCGGTTGACGTGTCAAAATGAACCTCATCGGTTATATCTAGAAACGGTTTCGACTCATCAATGTTTAATGTACCTCCCGAACTCATTTCCGGAACCGTAGTTAACCAGATTTGACCTTTCTGGTTTGCAAAAAAGACGCGGTTCGAACCATCGGTGTGAGCCACCATATCGATGTAGGTATCGTTACCAATCCTCTCTAGACACATCTCTTTCGGGATATTTTCGGTGGTGTTTTTGGTAGCATTAAAGCTAACTTTTTCACCGGAGAAGCATACGGAGCCAGCGGTGGAGGATCCACCGGTGTTGGTGCAGAAATCGGTTCTTGATGGCCAAATTTGGCTCAGTTTGCTAGTCGTGTTGACTGGTGGTGGAGCTTGGTTTTGTAACAATGGTGAAAATGGCGAGTTTTTTATGGAAACATTTTGACATGAATCGTATACGGTTCCACAGAAATCGTTCATGGCTTGGTTGCTTTGTGATGAATCTGATGAAACCGTTGAGTTGCAAAGCACGGGAATTTGTCGAGGAGAGGTGGTGATCGTGTACAGTTCTGCTGAAAACGGATCGCATTGCTGAAAAATCGAAAATTTAAAGATTTCAAATCTTGAATTAACTTCCATGTAAATTCAAATCGAAAATTTACAGGTTAACGACCCAAATTCAATTAAACTCACAAGAAAAGAAGATCATACCGAGCAAAGGATGGATTTGAGAAGAGAAGCACATGGCGGCTGAGATACATTCAATGATTCAAACTGCTTCTTTATGTTCAAATCTTGGGTTGAATTGCAGCATGATGACTCATTATAAGAGCAGAAAGCCAGAGGAGTCTTTGGTGTCAATGGTGCTCCTAATTCACACAATTCAGGATAGATCATCAACATATACAAATCACAATCACCAAAAACCCAGAATTGGATCATTAATAGCTCAAATTTTCATAAGGGGTTTTGAAGAAATGGTCAAAACTTACTTGAATCGGTGCAGAGAGGAAGTGAAAGTGCTGGATTGATGAGGAAGAGAAGCAAACTTAGAAAGTAGAAGATGACCAAATGATGAACAGAAGCCATGGCAGCAACAAAAATGGCTTCTTAGTTCAACTTTGTCATCGAGTTCAAAAGTCAAAGACAGTTTTAGATGATGTTGTAGGCTAAGAAGCTTTATGGCTTTCTTGAAATCTTGCTCAGGCATCCTCATTTAGTAATGTATAACTTGTGCTGCATAATGTATAAGTTAGTATTGCAGATTCTGAGAATTTAGCTTTTGACTTTTAATGTGTCAAAGGACATCAGATTTTGTATAATGGAGGGATGTCTGATTGTTGACTTTGCCTCGTATTTGTTAATTCAATTACATTACATGGTAGCTGATAAGATCATTCATTGGTGAATATATATATATATATATATATATATATATATATATATATATATATATATATATCTGTGGATCAGTTTTTAAAATAATGTCTGAATATAGAAAATAAAAATTCTGCCAAAGTACAGCGGAAACCGACAAAACACCAACGAAGTCATCCTCTTGATGATGACAAGAATAATAAACAATTTCGAGAAAATATACTTTACTTTCTGTAGACATCTGACTTTCATTAACAAATTTAAAGTTAGGTGGAAAAATATAGGAATTTATTAGGAAGAGACTAATTTGCCATGTTATTATGAGTTGTTTGTTCTCATCTATATTTTTCTGCAATATGCTTTGATGTTGTAGGGTTGTTTTTTCCAGAAAAAAAAAAAAAAGAATCTCACATTCAAGAAACGTTAAGTTTTTATCTACCACTTAATCCAGATACACAACCTATCGAGGTTTTTCAGGACTTGGTTTACAAAGGGTGAAAGTGGTCTGAAATTTCAACAAGCTAGTGACGGATCCAACATTCACTCAAGGTGCTGTTTAATTGGTATGATAAATGAAACGTCAACGGAATGAGCAGCAGGGTAATGAAATGAATTATTACCATTCCATTCTTGTCATTGGTTGCACTAATATAACGTAATAACTATGAGAAATTAAATTGTTGGTACCTTTTATACCTACAAATACCTTTTATACCTACAAATATTCGTATTGATTATGAAACATCTCATCATTTCATATTTACTTAACTATCTAATGAAAAGTATATTAGGAATATATCAAATAAAATTAAATTGAATGGTGGAATGATAACATGTATCATAAAATTAATGGGTATGAATATTTGTAGGTATAAAAGAGAGGAGACAATTTAATTTCTCTTACTTATATTCGTGGTGAAGCACAACGTCATTCCCTTGTTATAGTTATTTAAAGAAAATTTGAGATGTAAACTTTAAAAGATGTATTAAAAATTTTAAAGGTATGTAAATAGACATACTCTTAACCTACTAGAAGAGTTAACTTTCATAGGTTGTTAGATTAAACTCATGTCAATTAGCCACCCGTTCCCATAAGTTTCGTGTTTGTAAGGGAAATTAACTAAAAGGAATTAAAACAACCAAAATTACTATTTAACATGCCTACACATTTGTTGCATCCATCAAATCAATCTCTATAACTTAATTTAGATTTAATAATTAAATAAAAAAATTATTATTTTCCAAATGATTTGTATACAACAATTTTTTTCATACATAACAATTTTTCGACATCAGTAAATTCTATCATAATTAGGGGAGTTCGATATACAATACAACAAATCATCGACATAGAGTAAAATCATAAAAAAATTTTAGAAAATCTTATTTAGTAAATTAATAATCGATTTGTATAAAGGAGATGGAGTGAATCAATTTCCATCATATCAAAAATCATCTGCATCGAAGGGTTCATCATGGTTGGTTATCCCTCTTTGTTCTCGTATGTTTCTCGAAGAAAATCTACTCAATTACATTAGAGATTGATGTGGTTCTTGCTATAATTTTCTTGCTAGTTACATCCTTTTTGGGTATGAGAATATTTATCTTAAAACATTCTTTTCAAAGTTCTAGGTAGTAAATGCCAAGGGATATGTACATTAGTACATATGATAGATTTGTTATTTGTTTGTTGGAGTTTATTATATTTATGTAATTTTTAATTCTAGATGAAATGCTTAACTCTATTGATATATGGTTTACTAATTTAAAGGGCTTAGGACTGATAACTCACTTTATTTCATTTTTCTTGTTTGGATGTGGGCTTAATGTATAAGTTATTTGTCCAAATGTCGTTTAAATGTTATATATATATATATATATATATATATATATATATATATATATATATATATTTGTATATGTATATCAATATAAAGGTTATTTCATTTAGTTTCAATACCCTTTGTAACATGTCGAGTAAGGGGTTGCAATCATGAACAACTAGTATCAATACATAAAGTACATATAAATTATAATAGGTATAATTTATGATTCAAGAGCACTAACTCACGAGTCCAGTATACTAGAGTACATTATTTGACAAGAATAAGGGTTTGATTCAAAACTAAACAAGGGTATACAACTTACAAATACATTTCAAGTATACTAAACAAGGAGCATACTATCAATCATTCATTTCATAATGATTGAGTTTTCATTACTATTATACACGTAACGTCTATATGCTTTCTATTAGACAATAGATTCAGGTTGTTTATTCATTTAAACAACATAGTTAAAGTCCTGATGTAGATCTATATTGGGATTGACAACCCCGCACTTAGACTGCTAGCTACAACCGGACGTGCATGCCTACGAGTGACAATTGTTATCAATAGTTTCGACTCCTTCAAATCGTTGTTTCAGGCCATCTAGTCATATTATGGTTATAATAACTCATAAAAAAGATGCTAACAATACAGTTAATGTATAATTAACTAAACATGAGTACATTTTCAAAGTACTAAGATACAATTTACAGTATTACATTATAGTTTACAATAATAGCTGGTGGAGCCAGACATACTAACTTTCACAGTTTTTACTAAGGAATACAAATATAGAACACTGGTTTACAAACAAAATGGTTTTATGAGATTAAAACTACTTTTCATATACAACAGAAAATATAGGATTTTCTGAATCAGTTTACATATTCAATGAACATAAAACATACTTTCAAACATAAATACTTATGCACCCACCCAACTTTATGTTGATACTCTCTTTTCAAATTACTTGTATTCTTAGGGAATCAGTAGACATGTACTCCCCGAGCTTTTGAGAAGATGGAGCCGTTTTGAGTCATGTCTTCTGTATTTTGCTATAACTATTTTGGTGTTAATATACAGTGTTTGAACACATGTAAAAACTTATACTTATTAATGTAATGGTTGTTTGTACTTTGATTACTATAATACATGTGTTGTGATACTACAAATGAAGTCATCCACCCCCAGATTTTTGCACCGTCTGGTTTGGGGTGTGACAGATTGGTATCAGAGCATTGTTTATAGTGAACTCAATATATCAATTCATAAAAGATATACAAACTATCAATACCTTGGGGATGAGAACTCTGAATACAAGTATACTTTTAAAATTTAAGTATTTTTACAAGAAGTATACTAACACTCATACATACAAGAACAATATCACAATCATAACAACTCAAAAGTATTTGGATGTTGGACAATGCAGTCAAACCTAGGCAGTTATGTAATCATATATGGGATCAATATAGCCTGGTCAACTATATTGGTTTGAGATACGACCAACATGTGTTTGGGAGTGATGGTAGTGTTGCGACATGTCTAAAATTTACCAATTATACATATACAGAAGAACTCTAGAACATAACATAAAGTTAAAATACTATTGGAGTATTTTAGGCACTATATACTAAGAACAAACTACATGAAAACAAAGGACTCTTACTGATAATTCTATAAGTACTAAGTGCATGCATCACGGTTATATATGATGATGGTTGTATAGAATCAGAATGAGTGGTCTAAGATTTATTTATTTATTTATTTTTTTTTGGATGTGGATTTAGAGTAGGATCATTTATTCGAAGGCCTATTTGACCCAAGTTGTATATAATTAGTATACACTATGTACTTATAGAAGGACTCAGTAGGAGTTATTCCGAACATAATTCTTTATCTGTTAACTGTAAGTTTCTCTCGTAGAAACTTGTTTCTGAAATTTATCTTTACTAATTATATTAGATATTTCTCACATCCCTATTCTCTCTTAGATATCAATGGTTGGATTCCATCTACCCGGAGACCCGTACTTTCCCAATCAGGGAAATGAGGATGGCTCGATGTAGAACTAGAAGAGAATCTTGAAATTCCCTTAGATGAGGATTTTGAAGAAGATTTTCCTGAAGATGCTGATTTAGGATCAGAAGCCTACAATCCACCACCAGTTGCTCAGAATCCCAATCCACAACAAAACTTCAGAATCCCAATCCACGACAAAACTTCCAAGGCTCGATGCTTCTGTGGGTGGTAAACTTAGTCAGGTGGAGTAACGAACAGGGTTAGAACCATCCTTACCAAGGAGACCCAAGCTTCTACAATCTGGACACAGGAGGCTCAGCAGACAGATCCCTCCTGGTGTTAGTTCGTCGTGTGACACATAATGATGAACAAGGAAGAACTGCTATCGACCAAGTCATGCAGGTTGATGTTGCTACTAGAGTCAATACCATTTGCATTCGCAACCTAGAAAACAGTCATAATGCGACAAGGGAATCGTACTAATTTCTTGCTGAGAGAACTGGCGGCATCCCAAGCCGAAGTTAGAGAACTACGAGAACGGAAAATAACACAAGAAAGGCGTATGTATGAAATAGAACGCCAGTTAGCCAAATCCAGGGCCGGATCTAGTAGGAAGTAGATCATACTCTACTCATTCACTACTTACTCTTTTGGTTATAGTCTAAGTCTTTGGATATGTTTTAGGGTTATTTTTCATGTTTTTCAGTACAAGCACGAAAATTTCATTTTCGGTAGGTCAGTTTGATGTCGATGTTTTCCTAGTATTGTGGTATATTGTAGACCTACTTTAAGGTCAAATTTTCCAAATTCTATGTATTTAATATGCCAATACAATCGACATGCATTTTCTTATTCTTTGAAATATAACCACTCAAATTCATATTATCTTGTTGCAAGTTGTACTTAGAGTAGACTTCTATTACCAATTCTTTACAAGATCATTATCTAACTATCTCTTCATCTATTAATTCTTAAAGTGAAAGATGCTTCCACGAAGAAACCCAAGGCGTGTCAATGTTAATGAAGCGCCAACACCACCTCCGCCACCACCTCCTCAGTTTGACTCTGCCATGTTTCAAGCGGCGGTCACTGCAGCTGTCGTAGCTGATATGTCACATATAAACACCATTGTTGTAAGTAGATCAGGGAGTTGCGCACACCCGTCGAAT